AATGGTTTAAAAAATCGGTCGAATTGATCGGTTGGACCCGAAACCGGTCAATTAATCCATCTTGTTCGTTGGAATGAACCGATTGCAAGCGAATCGGTCAACGAGCGGTTGAAACAGTCATAACCTGTAAGAATCGACCAAAAATCGGGTTGAACAGGTATAGCTTTTTACATAAATTTTAATATAATTAAAAATATTTTTAATAAAAATAAAAATACACATTTAATTATAATTTTAACACCCCGCTTTTATCACGCTTGAAAATCAGAGTAAATTTTTCACTTTTCAAAACCTAAATATAGTAATTTCAAACCATATTCAAATTTTCTCGGGTGGTCCCTTTTCCTCTTCTGAAAACCCAGTTCTTATAATTAAGTTAACTTTTTTATATTGTTGTTAATTATTATTAAGAGAGCACTCTTTATAGACAAACTCATACATGTCAGAGATCATTCAAGTCTTCCAAAGTCAAAAAGGAAAGGTTGAAATTGGGGTGAGGGGCAATGACTTTCTACCATGCAAGTTAACTTTTTTATATTATTGTTAATTATTATTAAGAGAACAGTCTTTATAGAAAAGCTCCCACTTGTGAAAGATCATTCAAGTCTTCCAACGTCAAAAAGGAAGGTTGAAATTGGGGTGAGCGGCAATGACTTTCTACCATGCAAATTAACTTTTTTATATTGTTGTTAATTATTATTAAGAGAATGTGACCTTCTAAATCAACGGCCTACATCATATACTTGTCTGTCACTAACCTAAGCCTTTGTGGTGACTCAATTAGTTAAAGGTTTCAACAGTGATGAAATTTGGTAAATGCATGCGCTAATTTACCTATATTTTTTCCCTTTTTCATGAAGATATAGTATGACAAAGATAATAAGGAGAAAATGAGACTAAATTAATTAAATCGGTTAATGTTTAATATAAAAGTGAAAGGTTATATTTGTGGAAATAGTTTGACTTACTTATAAAATTTTTTTATGAAATTTGGGTGTATTCAATTTCAATTTTAGACGTTTTTAAGACTTTTAGAATTCTGGTGTATTCAATTAGAACTTTTAGAGACTTGTGAAAAGTTTACCGGTTCAATTGAGACGTTTATTAAAAATTTCTCGAGGTACTTAATTATAACTTTTTAAAAATCTCTATAAGTCACCCGATATTAAAAATAGAAAGATTTTATGTGAGTTTTTTAATTGTGAGACTTTTAGATACTTTTGTAACAAAATTACAAAGATAAAGTCCTAACAAAACTCTCATCAATATTGGTGAGATTTTGCTGGACTTATGTGACTCTCTTCATTCTCTCTTTATTTTTTTTAACACGATTTTGTATCTCATATCACTTTCATAGGTAAATTATTAAAAAATGGTCCACTATGTTGGCCATTTTTTTTAAAAAGATCCATCATATAGGGCGTCATCAAGAAAGGTACACTAAGTTGTCACTTAATCAAAATTCATACAAAAACCAAGATAAAGTATTAAAATTGATCGTAAGTATTAGTACACTATCTTCGTTTTTGTATTATTTTGATTAAATTTGCAACTTAGTGGACCATTATTGATGACACTCTACATAATGGACTTTTCAGAAAATGACCAACATAGTGTACTAAGAATGAAATTTAGCCCACATTCATACACTGTTATTTTACTCATTTTTTAATAACTTGTATAATTTTTATTTTCATTACGAGTATTTAACGTGAACTTATACTTTATATATTTTTTATTATGGTTATTTCATGTGTGCATACCTTTATTCTCTC